GCAGAAAACTAAATCAACACAGAAAGTAGTATTTTTATGCTCCAACTATAAACTTGGTAAGAAATTATAAACAAACCCATTCACAACAGCTACACGAAAAAATAAAATATCTAGGGATAAAGTTAACGGAGGAAGTCAATAACTTCTGCAACGGGAATTATAAAACACTGATAAAAGAAATTAAAGAAGGCACACAAAAAATTAAAGACATTTGTTATGCCTTATGTTTAGATGTCCTTCCCACCCGCAAAAGCCTTATGCACTCATAGGTGTGGCTTTCAGGCAGTGCCTAGGCCACAGGTGTGTGACATTGCATTATAGGTGTATAATATCTGATTTGGTTCCCCAATTAGATTGCACAATTCTAGGTGTACTGCATGTATTCACTGAAGACAGAAGCCCACCCTGGGTATGGGCGGCACCAGGGCACTGGTCTCCAGCCTTGGGGGAGCACAAAGGCCCTGAGAAAGGCTGGCCTGCTGCTGCCCACCTGCCCTGCCATGGACTGCCTCCTCTGCCAGGCACCGCCGCCAGGCTGCCCCTTGGTGGAGCCAGCCAACTATGGACTGAAATCTCTACAAACCATAAGCTAAAATAAATCCTTCTTCTAATTTGTGGGAGTCAGGTATTATGTCCCAGCAATATGAAAAGTGACTAAGACAACATCTAGTGTGCATGAATTGGAAAAATTAGTATTGCTAAAATGTCGGTAATGCCCAAAGCAATTTACAGGTTCAGTACAAGCCTCACATAAATGCCAACGGTATTCTTAACAGAATCCTAAAATTAATACGAAGCACAAAAATCCTCAAAAGGGATCAAAGATATAAATATAATACCTGAGGCACTCGGGTATCAGTTGAACTGCAGGAGTGCCGGCCCAGACTGCAGACCTGTGACTGAGCATCTGAGGTGGTGAATAATAGCTCTTCAAATCTGCAGTAAAAAATGGCCTCCAATAAAACTACATTGCAAAAAATGGGAAAGAAACAAAATGGAAAAAGTAAAAATGTTGAGGAAGTAGAACCTGAAGAGTTTGTGGTAGAGAAAGTACTGGACCGACGTGTAGTGAATGGGAAGGTGGAGTATTTTCTGAAGTGGAAGGGATTTGCAGATGCTGACAATACATGGGAACCTGAAGAAAATTTAGATTGTCCAGAGTTAATTGAAGTATTAATTCACAAAAAGCTGGTAAAGAAAAAGATGGTACAAAAAGAAAACCTTTATCTGACAGTGAGTCTGATGACAGCAAGTTGAAGAAAAAAAAAGAGATGCTGCTGACAAACCTAGAGGTTTTGCTAGAGGTCTTGATCCTGCATGAATAATTAGTGCCACAGATAGGAGCGGAGAATTGATGTTTTTCATGAAATGGAAAGATTCAGCTGAGGCTGACTTGGTGCTAGCAAAAGAGGCAAGTAGGAAATGTGCTCACATCGTAATTGGTTTTTATGAAGAGAGACTAACTTGGCATTCTTGTCTGGAAGATGAAGCTCAATAACTTACATTATTGGTTATAATTTACTAGTGTGGAAAAACATTCTAATGAAAATCAAGTTTAATATGTCAGTTTTGAAAGTAGTATTTGGGGGAGTAGTTGGGTTTTGTTTCCTATCTATAGCACTGGTTACCTTGAAAAAATAAAGCTTTTGTAGTTGCTCCCTTTATCAAAAAAGATCATTTGGTAGACTGATACATTTCCTCTGCCTTTCTAAATGTTGGGGGGAGTTGTCCATAGTCCAAATCAGAACTCATGTTTTAGCTCATATGCTTAAGGACCATTCAGGTAAAATTCTTATTTAAGTGGTTTTTGATTTATTTTTGAAAAGGAATTTTTTTTTTGACGGGGCAGGTCTTAAGGGCAGGTCTGGTAAGGCAGGTGGAGCTGGGGACCGAACTGCAGCATCCTGAGCCTGAGTGAGTTTGCACGAGCAGGTGCTTAAACAACTGAGCTAACCTACTAGTAGGCCCCTGTATTGGTTTTAAACATTCACCAAAACAAAAACTATGGGTGATAACCTCATGTTTGAGATGCCATCATTCTGAGCAACCTAAGAAATCATTTCCAGTTAAATAGAAAGTTTCCCTGAAGCCATAACCTTTTAAGTTAAGTAGATGGTTTTGTGGTTAATTGGACAGTTTAAAGTAGATATTTTCAAAGCAGCCATATCAGAATCTGTGTCTGTCTTTAGTCACAAAAATGCAATTTACTTCCAAAACTTCCCCCCAAAAAAGTCTTATCTAGCTGGGCATGGTGGTGCACGCCCACAATCCCAGCACTTGGGAAGCTGAAGCAGGAGGATCTTGGGAGTTCAAGACCAGCCTGGGCTACAAAGTGAGCTCAACACCAGCCTGAACTGCATAGCTAGACCCTGTCTCAAAAAGAGAAGAAAAATATTGTTATATCTCTACCAACAACTTTCCCACCCCAATAAGGTAGCAAGTCAAAACTTGGTTTGTTTGAATTTGCTAAGCAAGACTTGACAAGGGAATATTAAAAATTTCTCAAGACTCATTACTTCACAGCCAGTTGAAATCTGCGCTCAAAAGTCACTATTCATAAATGTCTTCAGACTTGGCTCATGGAAACCTACTGAGTGGCTGGAGATATTCACAATTTAGGACCTAGAATAAATGAATGGACAAACTTGTAATCTAAACTGTTAGGGGCTGGGGAGATGGCTCAGTAGAATAAGCGCTTCTCTGGCAAGCGCAAGGACCTGAGTTCAATGCCCAGTTCCAAAAAAAAAAAAAAAAAAAAAAAAAAAAAACTAAATTAAACTAAACTACTGCTTGTGTTTTTCTTGAGCCCAATTTGTTTCTTACATGTAGGATCAATCTTTTCAGGATTTGGGTTACTGCTTTCAGCAGAAGCCAGGAAAACAACTTTATAGTAGTCAGAATGTTATCCTAATGTATATTGTTTACTTTATTGTAAATAATGGTGAGCAGTGGTCAATAAATAGTTTTATATTCAAAATAAATAAATAAAATACCTTAAATTGAATCTACTAGAAGAAAACAAAGGGAAAATTCAAGGCATTGATATAAGAGCCCAAAAGCACAGACAGCAAAAGCAAAAACGAACATATGGAATCATATCGAACTGACAGCCTCACATAGAAAGGGAACAGCATAAAAAGACAACACAGAGTGGGAAAATATTGCAAACTAGCCGTCTGGTAAAAAAGTAATATCCAAAACACTCAAGAAGCAAACAAACAGCCCTACAACAATGACAAAATCCAATTAAAATTAGATAAATGATCTGAATAGACGTTTTTCAAAAAAGTAAATACAAATGGCCAACAACTATACAAAAAAAAAAAATTTCTCAATGTCCCTCGCCAGCATGGACATGAAAATCAAAATCACAGTGAGGTACCACTTCATCTCAATCAGAATGACAATTATGGAAAAAGGAAGAGCAGCAGATGCTGGCAAGGATGCTGGGAAAAGGACTCTTACACATTGCTGGTGGGAATTAAATTAATACAGTCATTGCAACAAAAAGTAGAGAGGATCTTCAAAAAATTGGAAATAGAACTCCAGTGTAACACAGCTGTTTTCTTTCTGGATATACAACCAAAGTAAATCAGATCAACATATCAAAGAGGTACCCAAGCCCTGGAGTTTGTTGTAGGGCTGTTGACCTTGACCATAGCCAAGAAATAGAATCAACTTTAGCATCCACTACTGGGTAAGAGATTCAAAAGATGTGCTGTGTGCACAAAGGAACGTTATTCAGCCAAAAGAAGAATGAAATCCTGACATTCGCAGCAAACGGACAGGGTGAAGAAGACTAAGCAAACTAAGCCAGACACAGAAAAACAAACAGCACTTGTCTTAAGTGCAATCTGAAAAAATTGGGCTTGCAGTTGAACAGACTGGAGCTGTGCTTGCTAGCAGCTAGAAGGGGAGGGAGGAAGGAGACTGTAAAGGACACTAGAACACAGATGGGAGACGGAGTTTCTCCAATGAGGCAGTAACTCTAATTCACAAAAAACTGCTATGTATTTTCATGAAGACCTAGAAGAACTGAGCTCACAGAGGTGAGCCCCACTTCAATGAGGAAGTGGAACCCCATTTGCCTTGGTTTAATCATCAGCACCTACTGAGCTGTATTGAAATACCACAAGTACCCCATTAGTGTATCCAGTTATTGTGTGTGTGGTGTGTGTTCCCCGCCCCCCCCCTCACCTGGTATTGTACTCAAGACCTTGTGCTTACCAGACAAGCACTTATTCCATTGAGCTATCTCCCTGGGCCCAGTTATTGTGTTAATTAAAAAGAAATTTTAAGGCCAGGCTGATCGCTAGCAGCATAAGCCCCTGCCTGGCAAGGGCAAGGTCCCAAGTTCAATCCCCAGTACTGAAGGGGGGGGCGGGGATAAGAATTTCAAGGTTTCATTTCCAGGGACCAACTTGGAGAGGCTCCAGTACTGCAGAGCTGCAGAGTCCCCAGCCGAGGTTCAGATGTGAGTCAGCCCAGCCTCGATGCCTTCCCCACAGTACCCAGCGCGGCCTCCCCATCTCTTCTGGGAGTTTTTGAGTTTTCAGGGGGAATTCTCAACTTCAGCATCTCTATCTGATAGTCTTAGATGGAAACAAGAAAAAAAAAAAAAAGAAGAAAGAAGAAAGAAGAAAGAAGAAAGAAAAAGAAAGAAAGAAAGAAAGAAAGAAAGAAAGAAAGAAAGAAAGAAAGAAAGAAAGAAAGAAAGAAAGAAAGAAAGAAAGAAAGAAAGAAA